GGGCGGGCGCTGCGGCCTCTCGGAAGGCGGCCCTTGGTCTCGCTCAACAGCGAGGTTGAAAACCCGCTTAGCCGGGAGGGAGAATTAACAAATAATGTGTATTTGGAGCCTTGGTGCGGGCAAAAAGATTAAAGCTGCTGATAACGCCTGTTTGTGAGTTTGCTTCTGTTTTTTTTCCGCCGCTGAAAACTCTAGATCCAGAATTTTACCCCAAATGCGTGTGTGCAAAGCATGTGGTGCCGTTATCTTCATGAAAATGCTGTAAACTTCTACCAACGAATTCAGTTATTCCTTCTGCTGTGATTTTTAAACCGTGTGCTTTTCAGAAACTTCAATTTTTATAAAATCCAAGAAACTTTTTTTTTTTTTTTACTAGATAAAAATAAGTCAAGAAAAAATGTAGTGATGTTTTGTTTCAGGGAAAAAAAACAAGGCAAAAATGTCTTTGTCTAGTCGTGAGTGTTAAGTGTAAAAGCCACTCATCTGGGAAAGAGATCTTGTTACCGTAAGAGCTGTTCATCTGGAAAATAGATTTTGGTACTGGTTTAGTGCAGACAATGACTTTCCATTCTGAATGATTTTTGGTGTGCTTGAGCAATAAAAAACAGTATTTATGAATTACGTAACTCGTCTATTTTTGATTCCTAAAATATTTGCCTAAATGTTTATTTTTCATACATATTTATAATAATTTTCTAATATTTTTCTTTATATACAAGTATTTCCCAATAATATTTTAGGAAATAGAAGGGAAATTCTTGTGTATCTTGGATACACAGCTTTTCCTTCCCCTCAGGTCAACCAGTTTCCTTTTTACAGGGAGATGCTCCTGTTGCTGCTTTTTGGGTTTCGCATGTTCTTTTGTCAGAAATATTTGAGAATGTGGGTGAGGCTTTCTTGTTTTGAAAATTACCAGTGTTTCTGTGTAGGGTGAACTCTAAGTAAGGTTGTGTTTTGCTGTCTTAAGGTTTCTTATTATTATTCTGGCATTGTTTTTCCTCTTGTTCTTTAAGGAGAGTTTGGATGGGGTTTTTTGTTTCCTTTTTTTTTTTCTCTCTTTCTATTCGTGCTTTCATTATTGGCAGACTCTACGAAGCATCCCAGTATTTTTGGATCATACAGTCTGTGTAGCTCCTAAACCTTTGTACCAGATGTACTTCAACCTTTTGGTTTAGTATCTAATATCAGCCTTACACAGATGATACTTACATGTGTTTCTCTGCGTAGGGAAATGAGTGTTCTACCTTGTGTCGCTGGGCTCAGGCGAGCGCTGTTGAGGTCAAATGTAACGTCTGTGTAAATGTTTTACCAACAGGTTGAACTCTGTTAACTTTCAACTTGTTGAAATTCGCCCCGTGTGATTATCTGAGCATGTTCGCTGTTTGTATTGAGCAATGACAAACCTGAATTTGAATAAAACACCTTGACTGATATTTTACGTGCCTCCATGACTTTATAATTTGCGTGACACATAGTCCACTCCTACTAGCTGAAAGCGAAGGTGAAGAAAAGAAGTGCAGGCGCAGTGTCTCTTGTCATCCCACTCCGAAGTGGTTTTCATTAGGAATCTCTGGAGTGGAATAGCTGTTGCTTCCATCCTGCTTCAGGTGTGTGCCTAATGTGTTCACAATCAATGTTGATTATTCCTGCTTGATTATAAAGGCAGTAACTGGAACCTACTGACAGCGATCTCTGCGTTTTACCTGCTAAGTTGCTTGCTTGTATTCATGGACTTGTGCTCATATTACTGTTACCCTGTTTTCTCCTTTCTGTTAGTTGTTCATTTTATCCATCCTGTTGTATTCTGCTAGCAACTAGGATTTCAAGTTGTTGGAGAGGAACTGTTTTGGAAATATTTTTCCTTCTCAGTAACTAATCCCTTGCCTATCTCTACCCTAAGTTTTTTCTTCTAACCCTTTATTTCCAAATTCCTTTTCCATTGTCATTTCTGTTATGCTCTCCCAATTTCCCCTCTCTTGTCTCCAATTTCTTACTCTCCTCATCTATTTTTATGCTTCTTGTGGACATTGTTTTGATAGTGTGCTTGATTAAATGGTCTTCACCACTCATCGAAGAGGCTCGATGTGCTTTTTTAATTCTTAGTGAGGGTGGAGAAGAATAAAATCCTGAGGGTTTGGGTTTTGGTTTGTTTTTTTTTTATCCTTAAGAGGATAAAGGTGGAAAGGAAAGAAGTCAGGAGAGTAGAGAGTGGAAAGTGTAAAAGAGTGGTGGATGTCTGAGAAGGGATAGAGAAGAGAAGCTTAGTGAGGGAGTGTTTCATGGGAGGCTAAGGCTCATCCATGATTAGATCTGTTAAGAAAAGTCTGTGTTAATGATGGCAGTTGCTCAGATATTTTTGGATCACTGGAGTTTCTGAGGCTTGCATAAGTGTCACATGTGCCATTTGTAATAGAACTCTGGAGTTCATTCTTAAGACAGGTGCTTGGGTTGTATCAGCAAAATTGATTTTTCAGTGCTTGGGTTGTATCAGCAAAATTGATTTTTCAGTAAAATTGGTTGTTCAGTAGGCAAAATCCTTACATTGCGTGGGAACAGCAAGACCTCTTCTGACCAGCTTCTGACCAGGTAGTACTCATTAATGTGGGCACAACTTCTTGGATTTTCTGTAGGCTTCTTTGCTGTGATGAAGCAAACATGAGTAATGCCAGCTGCATCTTAGTACAAATCCATAGCTGTGAAGCTGCAAACGGCTCAGCGCTGTTCATGACTCTGTTCAGGACAGGACTTTTAAGTTGTGACAGGTTAGGACTAGGTTTTTACTCATTTCCACAAAAATTGCAAATGCTTTAGAAACTACTACAGTTGGAGTTGATCTGTCACAGAGGGTGGCCAGGGCTGTTGCGTGTGTGTGGAATTATAAAGTCACTTCTTCCTCTTCTCAGGATGTGCTTCTATGACAGAGTGGATCAAGAGCTTGTGGTTCTGTCCGCAGCGCTCTGTGTTTACCAGGAATGTGAGGGTACAAATAAAGGTCGCCAAAGACAGGGCGAGGTGACCCTTCTGCAGGGGCCTGTGCGTTTTGTTTGCCCTACAGATCGCTGAACACTTGGGTGAGTTAGAGAGGCGCTCGAGGAGTCACCCAGCGTGACGCTGCTTACTGAGAGTGGGTGAAAGTTAATCTAGCTTTGCTGTAACTGGGGACAAAGGTGAAGGGTGGAAATAATAAAAATCATACAAGGACTGAATCTGGGATAAAAGGTAGTGGAGGAGAAGTGAGTTCTTTGGGCGTGGGAGAAAGGTGTGTGGAAATAGAGGCTGTGTCAGGTTCCCATAGAAAAGAAAGGAGAGAGGTTGGGATTAGGAATGAATAAACGTGGGATAGAGAGAGTAAATAGAGATTTTGAGAGAATGAACGTAGCGGGGCGGAGCAGATCACTAAAAGACAATCAAATGTAAGGGCTAGAAGTGGGTGAGGGTGTCTGTTGGGGCAGATGAACTGCCATATGAAGTAGAATGTTCAGTCCTGTAGGCAGATGGATGTGTTACCCAGTGTGTGGAGAATGATAAGGAGCTGTTTGCACCCTCTGTATGCGGAGTGCTGTGTGTGCATGTCAGTGCAGGCGATACTGCGTATGGTGGGGCATCTGGCCATATGCTCTTTTCTGCTGTTAAATTGCAAATAATGAAGATAGCTATATATTATCCTCCTTTTCACCTGGGCGTCGAACGAACCCTATCATTTCTGTGCCCGTATCTTTCCTTTATTAGCATTTCTTAGGAAAAATATGTGCAAAGAGATACATGTTAATGGAGAGGAGGTGTAGTTGTGTCTTGATATGCAATACTGCATCACACAACTTGGGGGCCTTGGCTTATAGAAGCTGTGTAAGCAACCTGAGTGTTCAGGGCAACTGGTCTAGATGTGAGAGTATGGTGGGGTTTTGCTGTTTGGTTTTTTTTTTGTAATTCTGAAAGTGAAAACTGTGTCAGGAGAAAAAGATGAAAAACCAAAATGAAGACAGAAAGGAAAAGTGTGGAAAATACAGAACCCAGGTGCACCTTACAGTTCAGTCCCTCTTGTACAGCACAGGCCTTTCTTGGGGACAGGCGTGCTGCTGGAAGGATATGCCTTCACTCCCTCTGTGCGCGAATCTCTCCCAGCAGCTGTTCTTAGCCTGGGATGAAATTCTCTTTGTTTGTGACTTTGAATAACACTTGTGTTCTGCCACAGCATCTCAAGTGTGTAAATGGTAGGGCAAAGTGGTTCTGCCCTGAGCTCCCCTTTGGTGTTGCTTCTTTTCAGGTAACATTTGGGTTTTTTGAAAGTTCTGGGGACTCTAAATGTTAAGAACCTTCAAGGTAAATCAGAGAAAAAAACTGTCTAGGTGAAGTCAAATCTAGAAATACTGGGAAGCAAACTGCTTCAACTCTTTTGCATTTTGGAAATGGAAAAACCTTTACTCTGAAAGAACAAATAACTTATATGCAGTTGTAGCACTAAGTGCAGTAAACAACATCTTTTGGATGAGGTGTTGAAAAGCATCTAAATACCAGAATATACGTGTACAGGCTGTTTGGTTGGTTGTTTTTTTGGTTTTCTTTTAGTTTTTCCCCCTTACAGACTTTGAGCACTTTTTTTTTCTCTGCAGGAGCTCCTGCAGCTCTGTGATTGCTGACACATGCTTGAGTGCCTCAAGGAGTCCTGGCAAGATGTCATCTTCCAGACTTCCCATCCTTCTAGCATTGGCATTTTCCTCTTTGTCCTTTGTTCTTTCCCATTCGAACAGGGAGATGTGGTTTCAGAATTTTTTGCCACCTAACATGTGCCCTATAAATGCCAAAGCCAACACTTTTTATGGCATAATGTTTGACGCAGGAAGCACTGGAACCCGGATTCACATTTACACCTTTGTGCAGAAGAACCCAGGTAAGACCCTGTGCCAGTCCATGTACTTGGAGTATGTTGACTTAGGTTCCAGCATCCCAAAAGAGGGGGTTTTTTCCCAACAGAGCATTTGGGAACAACTGAAGATTTCTAGTTTGTCATTCCAATGGTCCTCTGGCAGATGATTATTGTCCATTTGTGCTGGTGTTTTGCTGTGAAAATATCTTTTTTTGTAGATTTTTTGAAACTCAAGAGGTTTAATTCTGGGTGTACTGGAGAGTTCTGAATTTCCAAAGATTTTCATCTATGTGGCAGTTTAAATGAATGTTTCATTGAGTTGGAAAGAGGCTTATGCTGGTTTTGTGAAGTTGCATGTTACCTTGAATTATATGGAGAGATACTTACATTCTGCATAAGTTTATATGTCACATTTAAAGCAAATTAAAATCAGTAAATTAGAGTTATAAGCACCAAAGATCTGAGACATTTTCAGGAGAAGTCCTGTGTGCAGATGCTCCACACTTCAGTATATCTGCTTCTGACACAGTGCAGAGGTACCCAGGTTGGCTGCACACACAACAGGATTCAAGAGAGTGAATTAGCTCAGGCATGGTGAGCCAGCAAATTTGCAAAGGTTGAAGGCTGGTTGATGGGACTCAGCTAATAAGCCCTTCAGGGCCACATGTAGTGCTTATGTGGTTTGACATGATTTCAGCCTTAGTTTGGAAGGAATGGTACAACGTCCAGCTCTGATGGACTCGGCCTGACTTGTAATATGTGATTCTCAGGGATAGCTTCTAGACCCAAGCTGCTCTGGGAGCAACGGTCACGCTTGTTTGGCTTTGCAGCCGAGTGCTTGAGCCCGGTCAGCTCTGTTCTGTGTTTGTGAGTTGGATAAATCACTTAAGAATAATCAGGAGTTGACTGTGTGTGTCTTAATATGAATTAGTATTTCACGATTAGCTTGGGGACAGAAAGGAAAAGAAATTTTATTAAGATTAGGCAACAGTCATATTACATTGCTATAACTCATTGCAGTTCACAAATGCAAAATGAGTATACTTTTAATTATAACAGCATGTTCTTAATAAATTGTTTGTGAACTTGGAGGATACAAGGGCAACATTCTGTTAAATAAGTTCCTGAAGTGAAGGAGCAGTGCTTGTTCTAGGAGCAAAAAAGTATTATTTGCAAGGGGAAATCAAGAGTAGTTATTTTACAGGGATTGCAGGCAACCTTTTGGAAACTAAAGAAAAAGATTCGAGTTGCTGACTGTTGCATGTGATGTTTCGCTCGCACAGAAAAACTTCCAGAGTTGGAAGGGGAAATCTTTGAGTCTGTGAAGCCAGGTCTTTCTGCATATGCTGATCAGCCTGAAAAGGTGAGGCCCTCCTTCATTCCCTGTGAGTTGGTCTTACTGCTACTAGTATCACTTGGACTCTACCAAGCAGTTCAATTATTACTAATTATAACTGTGGAGAGTCAAGAAAAAATGTAAAGGTTCTACTGCTGGCTCTCTAAACCTGTTGCTCTACTTCTGCGAGTTAATTTCTACACAGTGAAATGGGAGCTGTTGTTTTACATATTTAATCAACAGAACAATGACTTAATTAATTGCATAAATGCTATATATAACTAGACTATATGCCTTTGAGAATTTCAAAGACAAAGTGATTTTTTTTCTCTAGCAGCATCCATATTCAATGTTTATTTCCCCTATAGCTACCCCAACTATGAGTAAATATATACTCCTATCTCATTTACTAATAATATTCTAAGTTTTTCCTTTCAGTTGAAGTTTTCAGTGCTGGTCACTGTTCAGAATGGGTGTTTTTTGTTTTGATTTGTTTAGTTTAGAAGTAAGGGGTTAAGACTGTGAGGGTTTTCTTTTTTTATTCATGTTATATTGACAAGCAAAGAGGGTTCATTTCTCTGACTCCTAAAAATGTTTCATTTTTTTGTGTGTATAGTCAAATCTAAAAAAGTTAAGTTATGGAGAAGGGGAACAATAAAGATGCACTTAGCAGGTTAATTCAGGCCTTAATATTTCTGTAAGTATATTCTCTGCTTCTGTCATCAGACTTCCAATAATTTGTTATGATTCTTTGCTGTTGTCTTAGGAACCATGGCTTGGAAGCCAGTGCCCAGTGATATGTA